AATAACATTAAGAATAACATCATTTACAATTCAGTTAACAAAAAAACAATTGAATTGGTCAGTAAGATTTTGTTCTTTCTAAAAAATTTTCCATTTCTACTAATGTTGTAATGTCCACGTTGTTGTTAACATTGCACCAAGATTGTGTGTAAATTTTTTTGAAACTTGAAAATTGACAAAATAAAACACAAGATCAATTGTGTTCAATATCTTATTGTAGTTTTGAATAACAATATCTAAAATAAAAATATATATTATCGATAGTATTGTTCTTTGTTAGATTCAATAACGAATTTGGACATTTAGATTAGACGGTTTTTCAAGTTTACTTAAATTGCAAAAACAAAATTCATTATTATTTTTTTATAACTTTATATATAAAAGATGAGTTTAATGTAGAATTAAAAATGATCTAGACCAATAGCTTGTGAAATTAGGTTAACTGAATTATGGCCAGTTTTATTATTAAGGTATGACTAATTTTAATTAGGGATTAATGGGCTAAATGAGAGAGAATGTCATGTCATATTTTTTACAATGGAATATCACATTAAATTGGGAGAATGATCTTGGTGAAGACACATAAGCTTTTTTCAAAAAATCACTCTCTAATTAATATATAAGGAATATGAATTTTTTTGGTTACCGTCAAACACTAATCACTCTCTAAGTTTAATATATATAGTCGAGCCTTATTAGATTATGTTTAATTGTGGTAAGTAATTGTGTTAATAAAATTTCAAATTCATTTAGGTGATTAAACTTGAACTAATTTATTAAGTTTGAGCTAGATGTAATAAAAGAATAATAGGCTAGAATGCCATATCATATTTTTTTAAATGTGATGAATGAATTTGGTGGAGATACAGTACAAAATCACTTGACAACTGATATATATAAGGGATGAACCAATCAATAATTATCATCCGGAATTTCAAATTCAAAATATTCAGAAATTCAAATTATTTTCTCCCCCCTCTCTCTCTCTCACATAAGAAATTGGGGGATCTGGAAGCGGAAGAAGGTAATGGGCGTGAAGTATCTTTGGGATGTATTGGAGCCTTGCAAGAAGACTTACCCGCTCGATCATCTTCAGTGAGTTTCAGTTTCTCTTTAATTTCGCCTCCAAAAATTCTGGGGTTTTCTCTAAAAGACAAGCCTTGAACGTTGATTTCTGTAGAAACAAAAGGGTATGCGTAGATCTCTCGTGTTGGATGGTGGAATTGCATAAAGTGAACAAATCGTATTGCGCCACTAAAGAAAAAGTTTATCTCCGGAGTTTCTTTCATCGTCTCCGAGCCCTAATTGCCCTAAACTGCTCCATCATTTTAGTCTCAGGTAACTCAGCCTACTGTTGCGAAATTACCATCAGATGCACGATTTGGGTTCCCTTGTATTGTTGTCACTGTGAGTTGGTAGAGTTGTGGATGTATCGAGAATGGTATTAGCAGAAGCATGAGTGATCAAACGAGTTCTGAGTTATTGATGATTTGCCCTAAAGAATTGGTTTGTTTATGCTTTTGGGCATATTTGACTTACTGCTATGTGCTTTGTAATTGTAGATGGTTCAATTCCTGGAATCAAAGTACCAACTTACAGGCGGCGGTTAAAATCAAGATTCGAGGTACCATTCCAAATGAGGCACTGGTGCTTTTATCGTTGGCTAGCTCTCGGAATAGTTTTTCGATTAATGCTTTATTGGTTCAGCCAGGTTGCTGACGATGGCGTTGAACCTGGGAAAGAGACTTCACTCAAAAGAAATATGGGATCTGAGTTCTCCTGCATGATAAAAGAGGCAAAGGTTATTGCATCAACACTGGGGATACTATGTTTAGACGGGTAATTCTTCAAAAGTGAAAACTTTACTGCACGTAGAATTGACAATGAGACTTTGGTTTGAGTGTTTGCCTTTACTTATACGAAGTACATTGATTTATACAAGAACATGGACATGCAAACAGATATGGTCTAGTCTCTGGTTTTGAGAGACCCAATGTATATTATTAATACACATATTCTCCCTGTGTTTTTCTTCAAATGCAGGGTTGAAGAAGCTGAGGCACAATGTGCTCTGCTAAACTCAAATTCCTTATGTGTAAGAAACATTTGGCAGTTTCTTGCTTGTCATGCTGTTCACTCAATAGTCAATAATATATTATGGTTTTCATGATGATCAACAGGACGCCTGTTTTAGCTCTGATTCAGATATTTTCCTTTTTGGTGCAAAGACTGTGTATAGAGAGATATGCCTTGGTGAGTGGAGAGAAACTCTTTTAGCAGTCTTGGTTTCTTTTACCGCCTGATATGGTTGATGGTGTTATATATGGCTTAATTAATCTGCTGTGAACTAGGTGATGGAGGTTACGTTGTTTGCTATGAGATGGAAGACATAAAAAAAAAGCTTGGACTGGGACGGAACTCACTGGTAACTTATTGACTCTCTTTACGTCATTTGCTTTACATACTTAACCCTGAACTTTCTTTTTCACAAGGCTGCACCGTGCTATTGTAAAATGGTATGATCGGAAAAAGCATGGCTGCTGAATGCTTACTTGCAAAAGGTGGCCTTTAATCATTTAACCTACAATGTTTTCTTGAGAAACTCATGCGAAATAGATGCTGTGTGTGGGTATGGTTCCACTGCAACATTGTAGCTTTGAGGGATCAATTCCTTTTAGTTGCATTAGTAGACGAGAAAACCCGCTACAGATTGTTGTCTATTGTTCCATACGTCAAAGAACTTTGAGGGCTTGCTATGTTTCATCAGATTACAGATCACTTATACTTGTTACACAATAATTTATTTGGTGAGGTTTCAGATAGCTCTGGCGCTTCTGCTTGGCAGTGACTACTCTCAGGGAGTTCGTGGTATTCGTCAGGTGTGTTGATAACTGAAAGCTCCTAGACAATTATCTATAGGGTTTCTATGTTATTCTAGTTTGCATGTTTCATTACGAGTTGGGTTATTACAAACTCATGTCTGATTTTCTTCTGTAACCAGGAGAAAGCCTGTGAGATTGTTCGGTCTGTTGGAGAAAATGTTATCCTTCAAAAAGTTTCATCAGAAGGGCTTTCCTTTGTGAAGAAGCCGAGAAATTCAAAGAAGCAAGCTAGGCCTCCTGTGTGCAGTAAAAAGGGGACCTTGCCCTTGGTGGTTATAAATGGTATTTGAAGCAACAACTTCGTCTTGTGTTTTGTGATATGCTTTGCTTATGCAGTTAGTTGATATTGGTGTTTTTCCAAGAGAATGTTTTTCTAATAGAAGCTCCTTCCTTAATTGCAACTTGGTTTAGGAAGTAATCGTGATCCAGAAGGACTGGAACAGGTAAAAGAGGTGATTGATGCGTTCATGAACCCCAAGTGCCACCCAGCAGACTCTATTACAGTTACCAGGTGAATCTTTCTTTCCATTTCTTGGTTGTCAGTCCTGTAATGATAGTTCTGCTTGTAATTATTCGTATTAGTAGAGCTAGCACGTGCATATGCCCATCTTTTGTAGCAATCATCTGCCATGAGAAATTACCGATTTTGTCCTGAATCAAGTCCTGGTGCTGGTTTTGCAGTTTCTATGTGTAAAGGTTCTAACAATTAGTGTAGCTTGTTTGCGTTAAACTGATAACTTAAAACGAACAAGAGAGCACAAAGGAAACTAAAGTTGCAATAAATGGCTTCCTCAAGTGCCTGAAATAAGTCAAGGAACAAGATTATAATAGGGATATCTGTTAACCCTGGAGATTAGTGAACTTGATAAAAGCTAACGTCTATTCAGATTTGGATGAAGTGATATAATTTAAATACTGGTTTTGCAGGGCTCTAGCTGAATTCTCTTTCCAGCGCACCAAGCTTCAGGAGATATGCCATCAGTTCTTTGAGTGGCCCCCTGAAAAAACAGGTATTACTTTGGATTTATACATATTTCTCATTCCTTGTAGGTTGCATAGAAACAATTGTGAAACCAACGTTTCTTCTTTTTTCTATCTTTGATTTAGATGAATACATACTTCCTAAAATTGCTGAAAGAAATCTGAGAAAGTTCGCTATTTTGCAATCAAGATCAACTGAGGTTGGTGTTAACCTTCCTCTCCACAAGGTACCTTTCTTTCTCTCGCTGCAACTTATTAGCTATAGGTTACAGATTTAGTAAGGGAAGTTGTTCTGACATAAATTTTCTCTTGGTCTGGCGTTTGGTGATTGTATAAATATGAAACTTCTGGCTTTGTTTTGAGTTTGGAGAAACCAGCAGCTTAAAGTTAACTGGCTTTACATAATTCAGTTGGAAGTTAAAACAAGAACTTGTCTTAACTCTTGGAATAAATCTTTCTGCACCGCAGATGCCAGAGAAGTGTCCGGTGTCTGAAATCATTAAGACTCGCAAAGTACAGGGACGAGAAAGTTTTGAAGTCTCCTGGAATGATCTAGAAGGGTTAGAGACGTCCATTGTTCCTGCAGATCTTGTAGAAAGGTAATGATCAAAATCTGACATTCACTTATTTACTCAATGACTAGTGATTTGAATACGTAGGCTCAAGTGGTTGTCATTGATCAAACCTGTGTTGTTTGGCCTTGAATGCCAAAACTTAAATCCATGATGAATCAATGAACTGAACTAGTGTCTGAAATACGCAAATCTTCAGGTAATATACAGTCAGGTGTGGACTTAACCGGGTACTAAAAACTCTTCAGTGATTTTTTTTGGCTTGGCTATAGAAATTTCGTAGAAGAGTAATTGCTTGGTTTCCAGAAAGCTGCAAATAATGGCTCTAAAGGTTTTCAGTTAACCGAGAATGAGCTATGAAACATCGAAAGAAATCATACTAGTAGATCTACTTATGCACAGCCAAATTGCTTCCTAATTATTTGTCACAGAACACCAAAGATGTTCGGTTTTGTTGGTGGTTTTGACTCAATATAACTGGTCTACTAGTGGTTTTGCCTATATATCCTTCTCAATTTAATTTCAGGGCTTGTCCTGAGAAGATCATAGAGTTCAAGGAGAAAATGGAAGCAAAGAAGAAGAAGCCGAAGCCGAAACAAAAACAACCAAAATCAAAACAGAAGGAAACAAGTTCACCAACCAAATCTTCTTCTCTTATCGAACTCAGCCTCGAACTCCAACACCTTGATCTCAACTCAACCTCTGTAGTAACAAGCACCGTGGAAGAAGCAGAGCAAGAGAAAGAACAGGAAAAGTCCAAGAAACATGATTACTTGTGTCTAATCGATTCACCTGCTAGAGAAAATTGCAACAATGATTGGTCAACCATGGATAGATTCAGTGTTGGCCCGAGTTCATGTTCATTGTATCCGGAAACAGAAGTCATTGATCTGATAAGCCCTTGTCCTGAAGCTCGTTCAAGGCGTGTGTCAAAAAGTTATGAAGAAGAGAAGAGCCATGATCACAATCTTGAGACTGTGATTGAGCTGAGTGATTCAGAAACAGATGATGAAGAGCATAGCAGAAAAGCTAGAGAGTTTAGGATGTTTCTTGAAAATATTAAGAAAGACATCATCCTCTGAACCAAAAGAGGACGATGATCATTTATAATAACATTGCAGTTTACGAATAGTTCCATATAATTTGTGGTAACTCTTTTTATCTCATACTAAAAAGAACACTCTCAAAAAGGTGTGGGAACTTATTTTATTTTGGTAAAAACAAAAGGTTATTTCAAAAGTACTAATTTTTTTTTTTTTTACCAAAATAATAGAAAAATGGATGCGCTTAGAAAGTTTTGAGAAATCAAGCAACCGCTACCAATTAGTGAGAATAATTACCTACACCAGATCATTATTTATGTAGAATAATAAAAACAAAATGATATGAATTATGAAGGTCTTAATTGGATTTTTGTTTTTTTGTCAACATAGCAGATTTGA